GGCCCCGGCCTCCGCGTTTGGCCCCGGCCTCTGCGGCTGCGGCCCCGGGCTCTGGTCGGCACCTCTGGGACAGTCCCTTCCCTGCGGGGCCGAGCCGCCCACCGCGTCGTCAGTAATCGCACGTGTGTCCGCGTCGAGCGACCAAGCGTACCGATGGGCGCAGTCGCAGCAGCGAGGCGCCCGGGACGCAGGCAGGCGCGGGGTTCTGGTGTCGGACCGACCCAGCTGGGGGCGTTCTCCCTCCCTCCCGACAAACTTTAAAATGAGGTTTAAGAATGTGGCCCTATGGGACCAGAAGCTGGTGTAATGGCTATGTCGCTGGACTCTCAAGGAGTTGACTGCAGCTCAAGCCCCGGACCCGGTGGCTTAAACTCGCGCTGGGCGTTTGTGCGTGCCCAAGATCCCGAGAGGAGAATGAGGGAGAGGGATTGTGGTGTGTATACCCCTGGGGGAAGTTTTCTTGCTTGTTTGTCTCTGGCTAGTACATGTGCCCTGTAGAGTCTTACCGGTGACCACGGGTTCTAGTCCAGAACCCTCTCACTTTCCCTTTCTCTCTCTCTGGTAAGTGCTTATGTAAACTTATATATATATATATTATATATATATATGTGTGTGTGTGTGTGTGTGTGTGTGTATATATATATTTTTTTTTTACAATTAAGTCACAGCCATACCAAATGAAGTCAGAGACTGTCAACCACACAATGGTAGTTCATAGACTTAATGGGACAAGACTAACCCTGGTCTTTGGTTACAAGTAGTTTTATCTTCTACTTAACTAGAGGGTGTGTGTGTTCCCTAGAGAGAAAGAAAGAACTATAAAGGGAAAGCCCCCTCCCAGTGGGGCATGGTCACTCTGCAGTCAACTTTTCCTCAGCTTCTCTGTCCTGCGGGCATCTGGGAACATGCAGAACCGTAGGGGAGGGATTGAACAGGTAGGCTGTGTGAGAGCTGGCTCCCCTAACCACAAGGTCAATATTCTTTTAGGAACGTTAGCACACCTGCAGTCACTTAATTCAATAAATCAGATCTGTCTTAATATATACAGCTAACATTTTTTAAAAATTCTGAGTGAAGATAAAACCTTACTTTTGGTGGTTGAGCCAGTTGTCATAAATATAAAATAATGGGCATGTTTTGTCATCTTTGTTTTTTGCTTTTGCTCTACTTCTGTTGGTTACTACATTGTCAGTGTTAGTTTCCCATCCCTGGTCTATTTTGATAATGAGTCAAAGCACTGGACTCCACCATGGGATGGTGTCGGGAGCCTCTATCTAAGACATTGTGGATGTGTAGATGTAAATAACTGAATCTAGTAGTCTCTGATGGACAGCAGGGACAAGAGGATAAAACTAGTTGATTCTAGCAATTCTTAGGAAGATAAGGGACTTTCAAAGGCAAGCAGGTGTTCTAGGCGAGATCCAGCTGTTCTTCTCATTAACCTCTTGCCTATAAGTAATCTTATCAGATATTCCGTAGTATATCTTAGTTTAATATAGGAGAATGACATTTTGCTTTTTAAAAAGCCACTAAAAGTGGTAAAAAGAAAAATCTGTGTCTTAGTTCATGTTCTGCGGCTATAACAGAACAATATTGACTTAAGTAATTTATAAAGGAGTTTATTTAGACTAATGTTCTGCAGACTGGAAAATTCCACAACGTGGCACTGACATCTGGTTAGCATTATCTGAAAGGGCAGAAGCGAGTGCCTGAGACAGAGAACGAGAGAGGTCCGCTTTTACAACAAGCATCCGTTCACAGTAATTTACCCGCTCCTGTGGCAGTGGCACTAATCCATTCTCAAGGACTCACCTCTTCAAAGCCCCTTAAGATTGCGACAACAGCAGTTAGGTTTCAGCATGAGTGTTGGTGGGGGCATCCTAACCATAGCATTCTATCCCTGGCCTCCCAAAACTTATGTTCCTTCTCACATATAAAATACATTTATTCCCAATCGCCACAGTTTCACCTCATTTCTGCATCAACTGCAGAGGCCCGGGTCTCATCTGAATCAAATGGATGAGACTCAAAATGTGATTTATCTTGAGACAATTTCTTCCATCCGTGAAATTAAGCAGGTTGTCTATTTCCAAAATACAGTGGTGGGTCAGTCATAAGATGGACATCCCCATCCCAAAAGGAAGAGAGAAGCAAGAAAAGAGAAGTAACTGGTCCCAAGGCGGTCTAGACCACTGTAAAATTAAATTTTAAAGCAGGAGAATAGTCTCATTTGACTCCGCATTCTACTTCTGGGGCGTATTGTTCAGGAGGGAGCAGGGTCCCCAAGGCCTTAGGCAGCTCCCTCCCTAAGGACCCAGCTTTGCTGGGCTTAGCCTATGCTGGCTCCCTCAGTGTGAGGCCTTGTACCTGCAGCTCTGAGGCTGGCATGTCACCCTGGCATCTCTGCATTTCTCGTGTCTCAGCGGCCATCCCGTTTCCATGGCTCCACTAGATACAGCCTGAAGAAAGTCGTCACCAGTTTCCCTCACTTTCTGCCTTCTCTGAATTCTGGAAATTTTTAGTTTCCTCAAAGCATTTATTTTCTGGAGATATATATATATATATGTATATATGTATATATATGTTTATATGTATATATATGTATATATGTATATATATATGTATATATGTATATATGTGTGTGTGTGTGTATATATATATATGACAGTTGTTTTGGCATTGTTTCCTTTGAGCTAAATAACAGTTTCCTGATTTTCTCATAAATTTTCAACATGGCCTAATGCCAGAATTATTGAATAGACTGATAAAATTGTAATTGGTTGCATGTTAAAAGCTGAGTAGCTCGGGGACAGCAGGTGGCGTGATGGTTAAAGGCACTGAATTCCCACATGGCCGACTAGGGTTCAGGTCCCAGACATGGTGACTTGCATTCTCACTTTCCCTCTGTGTGTCTCTGATCAAACTGGAAAATAATAATAATAATATAATAAAATACTTTCTTAAAAAGAAAGCTGAGTAGCTCTAAAGCAAATGTGGGGGGTAATACAATAACATTGTTCTAGTCCATATTTTTGCTAATACTAAAAATTTCAGAGTCTGGATAATTTAAGAGGATAGAGGTTTGTTCAGCTCATGGTCCAAAGTCCAGGGGCCACCCCTGGTGGGGAACTTGCAGTCCCAAAGCACCGCATGAGAAGGAGGGGTATAGAGCAGCTGTGTCCACCCACCCATTTGCCTCAGTTCTGTTCTCATGACCTCTCTTTATCAACCTACCAGGACTCATCAGAGAGGCCCCGTCTTAATCAATCCCACAGGCCCCACCTTGTGACAGCATGAAGATACTAAGTTTCCTCTTAATTCCTGCGCAACTATTAGGTTTTCGAAAAGTCAAGATATATTTCTCTATGTAAAAATGTAATAAATCTTAACACATGAATTTTTGGGAGATACAAACCATAACAAACATCATATTATAGATGGGGAAACACAAATTCTCCATCTAAGATGAGTTCAAAATCCGTATTTACAGGGACCAGCAGTTGGCATAATGGCTGTGTCGCTGGACTCCCATGTAGTCGACTGCAATTTGAGTCCCGGACCTGGTGGCTCAAACTCGTGCTGGGCGCACGTGTGTGTGTGCCCAAGAGCCCAAAAGGAGAATGGAGGAAAAAAGGGATTGCGGTGTGGCCATCCGCCCGGGGGGTGCTTTCTCACTTTCTGTCTCTGTCTCTCTCTTTCTGGCGAACACACGTGCCCTATAACAAAAAACCTCTCCAAAAAAAGAAAAAAACCCCTATATTTAAAAATTTATATATATACATATATATACACTCATGCACTTGTATAGATATCTGTATTTGTATCTCCCTACCTTTAAACTATTTATCTATCCAACTTCTCTCTAGTTTTAGTAAATTTGATACTTTTCCTGGAAGAAATTTCTCTGGCTTGAAGCTAAGTTCTACTATAAAAAGTGCTGGTTAGGGTTTGTAGCGTACTCAGAGCACTTCGGATAAAATACCTCTCCATGCGTAAAGGTTATTCTAAGTTTCCTCAGTACCTTCCTTCTATAAGTTGAAATTCCTTAAAAATAGTTATCGGCTTCTTTCCGTGTTTGATGCTTTGTAACTACAGGTACAGAAAAATAGTCAAGTTCCTATGTTATGTAGATATTTTTTCTGAGTTTAAGTCCCAAAAGAAAAATTATAAGAAAACATGTTAAGAATTTAGAACCCTTTTGAAATTTCAGATATTGTTGAATTGGTTTTTGCTATAGGGCACGTGCGCTCGCCAGACAGAGAGAGACAGAGAGACAGAAAGCGAGAAATCACCCCCCAGGGGGGGATGGCCATGCCGCAATCCCTCTCCTCCATTCTCCTCTCAGGATCTTGGGCACGCATGCACACGCACCCCCGGCGTGAGTTTAAGCCACCGGGTCCGGGACTCGAACCGCAGTCGACTACGTGGGAGTCCAGCGACATAACCATTACGCTAACTGCTGGTCCCAATACTTCAGAGCATTTTTCATGTGTCATTTCTCACGTCAAAATTTTTGATTGACTATGATTGCTATCTGCTTTCAACTTAAAATTCCATCCCATGACCTAATGGCTTTAGTTCTTTATTATTTTTAAATTGCAAATAAATAAGTGACTTTCAAACTTAAAAAATGTGTAATTTAAATATAACAGAACTGTCTAGTTTAACAAAACTTCCCTTAAAATATCCGGCCTACCTCATTTTTTTTTTTTTTTTTTTGGAGAGGTTTTCGCTATAGGGCGCGTGTGCTCGCCAGACAGACAGAGACAGAGAAACAGAAAGCGAGAAATCACCCCCCAGGGGGGATAGCCACGCCGCAATCCCTTCTCCTCCATTCTCCTCTCGGGATCTTGGGCATGTATGCACACGCGCCCAGCGTGAGTTTAAGCCACTGGATCTGGGACTCTAACCGCGGTCGACTACATGGGAGTCCAGCGACATAGCCATTATGCTAACCGCTGGTCCCTCATTTTGCTCATTCTGAGCTCATAATCTTGACCAGTTGGGAGAAGAACAATTACATCTGAGTCCCTACATCAGGGCATGTGTCCCTGCACCCCCACCTCAGGTCCAGTCAGTTCTGACAGGAAATTAACCAAAGAACAAGCCTGCAGAAATCCCTGTCTCTCTCAGGGACATTGTCCTAAACATTGTTCCTCCCCTTCAGTGCTGTCTTTCTTAGGGGACAATTGCCAAAATTCGACGAGAGAGTGGTGGGGACGGTGTGTGTGTTCTGTGGGATCACAACATTTCTTTTTCTTTTAAAAACATTTTCTTTTTTAGGGCTTTTGCCATAGGGTGCATGCATTGCCAGAGAAAGACGGAGACAGGATAAGGAAAGTGAGACATCACTTTCCCCTCAGGGGAAATGGCCACACTACAATCCCTTCTCCTTCATTCTCCTCCTTAAATTTTTGGGCACACATGCACACATGGCCAGCCGGCATAATTTCCAAGCCACCAGGTCCAGGACTTGAACTATGGTAGACCTTGTGGGACCTTCACTATTACGCCACCTGCTGGCCCTAGAGCATTTCTTGATCTCTTGTCTAGCCACCAGGAATCTGGTGCTCACTTCCCCAACATCCAGGGCTCCAGAAACCAAGTTACCCAAGGCACTGACTGTTTTCTACTTTGACTGCTCCCACTTCCAAAGTAATGATTGCCACTTAATGTTTTCCCTTAGCCAAAGCTAAGCTGTGTCCAAGCAACATGAAGCCACCAGAGCTGATCTAGCCCAGCTCTTGGCACCAAGTAGGACTTCAGTAATATTCTTTAAAAGAATACACTATTAATAATTATTATTCTTACAAGAGTGGATAGAAGCCTAGATGAGAAGGCAAATGAGACAGGGAAACATGATGGCTCATTAGACATTAAAGAAGCTGATAAACCAGGTAATACATTTGGAAATACATTCAACGTGAATGAGAACCCAAAGGGAAGAAGCAAGAGAAACACACACAAGGATCAGAAAACAAAGTGTGATCATGGAAAATAGTTGGTTCATGGAAACAAATTTTGAGATTTTGAGACTCTAGCACTGAAGCTCTCTCCTCTTACACACCATTTGCCAGAATTCTGTTGGACTAGAGCCCTAAAGCAATAGACTTCCTCCAGGGAGCTCTGTTCTGGTCTTTGGAGGAATTCTAGCATGATCTACAGCCAAAGGTCGGTGACTTGACTGGCCATACCTCCTTTCTCGTTTTTACATATTTCACTTGTGACGATAAACAAGCTGTCAGCTGTACACACATAACTGTGGCTTGAAGAGTGGTACACTCTCAGCTTAGACCAGTCTCCCCATCCAGTCTGTTTTATATCATTTCTAGGGCAGTTGCTGCAAGCGACTCACTGTTTAATTCCGGTTAGGTCCCTCAAGCCCCTTTATCTTTCATTTGCTGGCAGGGACTCCTTGTGTTATGTATTTGGGAAACAAGGAATAGCAGCTCAGACTTGCTCCCAGCAAAGCCTCCCATCTGAGAACAAGTGGGCCCTTTTTCAATTGTCATATCCTGTTTTCATGTTTGCAAATGATTAAAGCTTCTGTGTCCATCAAAGAATGCCTTGGGCTGGAGGATAACCTCCAAGTAACATAGTGATCACCCATTATACAAGCAGGACACGAGGGCAGCAGGATAAAAGATAATCTTCCTAAACCTGTTGGCAGTGTCTACTAGACCTGATCATAGGCATGTCCCATGACCCATCCATTTCACTCCTCGGTGAAATGCTGAACAAAAAGAAGTATATATGTCCCTCGAAAGACGTATAGAAAAGCTTTTATATTATTTTATATTATTTCTAACTGGCAAAAACAAGAAACTATTCATATGTCCAACAGCAGCCTGGAATAAAAAAAATAAAAACAAAAGCAGCGTTATGGTCACAGAATAGAATGCTATGTGACAACAAAAATGACTGAATAGTAGCTACATGGAATCATCTTGATGGATTTCATAGCATGAAGTTGAGTCAAAGAAAGCAGACACAGAAGGACCAACTGAATTATTGTATTTATAAAGTTTAGAAAAACCAACAACGAGCGTATACATATAATGTTAGAAATCAGGATAATGGTTTCTCTGAGCAGATGGTAGTGACCGGAAAGAGGGAAGAGGCCTCCTAGAGTTCTGTGCATGTTCTGTGTCTATTTTTTTTTTTAAAGAATTATTTATTTGGGACCAGCAGTTGGCGTAATGGCTATGTTGCTGGACTCCCATGTAGTCTACCGTGGTGCAAGTCCCGGACCCAGTGACTTAAACTCACAGCAGGCATGTGTGCGTGCATGCCCAAGATCCCGGGAGGAGAATGGAGGAGAAGGGATTGCAGCATGGCCATCCCCCGGGGGGGGCGATTTCTTCCTTTCTGTTTCTCTCTGTCTTTCGGGCGAGTGCATGCACCCTATAGCAAAAACCTCTCCAAAAAGA